GGGGAGAGAACCAGCTTACAGCTGCATGAAAAGGGTCCTAGGGGAATTGCCTCAAAAAGGCCCTACAGCGAAAGGCAACAGTGTAAAAACCATGTTTTGGAGGCTGTGCGCTCTCTGCAAACACGGCCACTGGACAGGCAATGTCCGAGCAGCCACCTGGAGCTGCTTGGATGGCCTGCAGTCTCCTCTCTGCCACCAGAAAGACAGCCCTCAGGGAGCAGGCACACAACTAGAAGGCTACATCTCAACCTCACGTGCCATTTGAGATGGGGCAATTCTTGACGAAGGGGATTTGGCCGTTTTTGCGACAGGACTAAGGATCAGCAAAAAGAACTAAGATAACAACAAAGAAATAGATGACTGGCATGTAGGGAAGGGATGGGAGGTGTCCAGCTGAGCTGGAAGCATCTAACTTCCAGGAGACAGCCCAAGAGGACCCCAAGACCAGCACGAGGTGACCCAATGGGGAGATCCTGTCAGCACCGAGAGAGACTTCAATTTGCCAAAGACAGATTGAGCGCGACAACAAATAGACAACTCTGTCTTGGGAAGAGCCCCCCAAGCACACAAGCTGTGATGCCCCAGAGCACAGATGGGAACTACCACTGCTGCTCTGCAAGAGGTTCAAAGGTGGCACCCACCAGGGCCGGTGCATGCCAGGACACACAGGACACAAAGGCAACTTTGGGGATCTTAGCAGAGAGGTGATGAAAACAAGAGAAGTCCAGCAACATCAGTGCTTTCAAGCTGGCTGAAGGGGGAGGGCCCATCAACAAACCTACCGCCATCTCCCAGACTCTCAAATACATGTGGTGGTAAATGTCACCCACAAGGTGATGGTTGAGAGGACTTCTCGCAGCCTCAGACACAACCAGAGATTCATCACTTCTGCAATGCCTGCCTCCAAAACATTACTTTGGCAAACAGCTGCTGAAAAACTCACTCTAGTAGGAGCAAATAATCATTCATATTTGTACAAATCAGACAAGTTAATCTTCTTACCCAAGGCCTACTGACCCCTATTTGAAATTGCCTGATGTTGAACCTTGTCCCAAAAGGCAAAGATGAATCACTGCGGCATCACCAGATATGCAAAACGGTCACAATTAGAAAAGGCCAAGAGGAAATACAATGGGCCAGTAGACGCTGTTGGTTCAAAAGAGCTCACAACCCAGGGCAAGGAAAAATTACTGAGAAAATTAAAACGTCAGGAAAAATTCTGACCAAAAAAAAAAAAAAATCAAAGCAGGGATCTTTCTTCGGAAAGGTTTGTTGAGTGATCTAAAAGCTACAAGGACAGAAGAAAAAAAAAAAAAAGAGAGAATGTTTTCAGCTAAACATCTGCCCTTGTTTGGTGTTGCAGGCAGCAAAAAAGTGTAAAATAAAGAGAGATAAAGCAATCTAATTCCCAGTTATGGCATTGGGAAATAAGTGGGAAAAGCTCAGATCACCAGGGAGAAATGCAGACAGAGAGACCTTGGGAAACCATAAAGCATATCAAGAAAAGCTTGGGAACGTATGGCCTGTTTTTGGAGAGAGATGACTGAAGCGCTCAATAAATACTTTTCTTCATGTGTGCCAGGAACAGAATTGATGTACTGCAGGAGGGCAATGAGGTATTTACTAATTTATCTTCAAGACAGGAACAGCTTTGATTTCACAGGGGGCTGCCCCAAGAGTCCCAAAAAAGCTGGATGAGGAGCTATAGGGAGCAGGACTCTTACTACAGTGCTTCATACAGTTTCACTGCTCACGTTTTATAGGAATCTGGAAAACTTGGGGAGAGCACAAAAAATCCCCCCAAAACCCAAACAGAAACCAACCCTCTGCTGAGAGGGTGAGGTTTCCCTGCTGAGAAACCAAAGCAGCGTAACCTGATTTCTCGGAAAGAAAACCGAAAGGTAGCGTCACTACGCCAGGTCCCTGGGCGAGAACACCTTGGCGTCCCTGGTTTGGATTTTGTGGTGTGTAATATGGTGACAAACTTCCCCTGCAGGCAGGGTGTCTATAACCTCTCTTTTTCTGCAATCAGTGGTCCGATCTGCAGCCTAAGAAGGGCTAAGCCCACACTGCAGACTCTTCCCTAGGAGCTTAACACAGCCTCTCAATCTCTCTTTCTTTCTCTCACCCTCCTCTACCTGTCTATTTTCATGGGCTGTGTAGGATGTTAGCACTTTTTAAACCGCTACCCTCTCCAAAGTGGGGCTGAGCAACAGCTTCAACAGTTAATTGGGCTGGGAGGCACAGAGGGATAGCCTCAATTCCATAAATAATGTGATTGCACAAACTTTTTTTTCCCCCATGAAACTAGGCTAAAAAGGGATAACAAGAAGACAGAGCTGGAAGCTGTAATCAGGCGCATTCGAATGAGTAATAAGGCACATCATTTTAACTGTCTGGATTACTAACACTGCCAAGGGAAAAGCAGCATGTCTTCAGATCTGCAAGTCCTTCTGAAAGATACCTTTGCCAAACGCCAAACCAAATGTCAAAAGCCCGTGTTATGCAGCAAAGAAATGCCATCTTTTTATTCCAGCAACTTATGAACGTCTTGCAGTTGTCTCTAAATTACCCCATTCCCCTCGGCTCACTGCCCAGCGCAAGGCCGCCCACAGCATGCGTGTACGTTTCCCAGCAGCCCATGAATACAGGGGATCACAGGTACAAACCCATGCTGCCATATGCAAAGGGCTGAGCACATGCGTCCCTGGGCACACGTGTGCGGCTGCAGCTAATCCACGCGTCCCATTGCCAGAGTGTGGCAGAGCATTACCCGCACACATGTGTGGCTGGAGAGGTGCCAGATATATGTAAAACAGCATCGCTCCATACCTGTTACTGGCACAGAGCAAATGCAGATGTGAACTGCCACCCAAAGTCCCAGGCTCAGCCTTCCCCGCTGTCTAGCTGCCTCTGATGGCTCACAGCCAGCCTATGGGGAGCCTAAGACCAAGGATATTTCTGGATTTGGCTCACCACGTACAATAAAGTTACTCTGGATGCCCTTGCACACAAGTGCTAGCGCTCAGCACCACAGGGCAGCATCATTGCTCCTGTGGGTACAGCATGCCATGGCCCTGGAGGTGCCACTCCCGGCCCCACAGCCCCAGGTGGGCTCACTCACTTCAAGGAGAGGGAAAAGTCGTTCTTGCTGGTCTCGCTGTTGCGCACCAAGTAACTGGCCTCCTTACACAGCCTCAGCAGCGTCTCCGCATCCGTCCGACTGATGGCCCCGTGGTACCAGCTGTAAGCAGGACAGAGAGAACAGAAAGCTGCCAGGGTATGATCAACGCAGATGCCCCACGCAGGACACGGAAAGCCCTAATACCTGTGCCTCACAGCAGCGGCAACACCAGCTCACTCAGCATCTCCCTTGGGACAGGGATCCTATTCGAGCTAAGGGATACGGGTGAGAACAGGCCAGGGGTGGGGGACAAGGAGCAGGGGCTGCATGCAGGCCAAACATGAGGGAAGCAGAGGGCACAAATGGACACCAGGACTCCAAGAAGGATGGCAGAGACAAACGGCAGCAGGCAGATACACGGTAACAGGGAAGAAAGGAAGGGCGATAACCAAGCTCTTCCTGGGCTTCTTCGTGGCTTTGTGATGGGGATCCCAGAGCACGCAGAGGGGTTGGGGTGTCGTTTGGTGGCAGGACTCACCACTGGCTCTCCAGGGGCAGGGCAGGGTCAATCCTCTCCCCAAGGAATGGAGCCTGCTCCAAGCTCAGCAACTTTGTGCTCTTGAGGCTGCTGGTCCCATGTCTGAGGGCAGCTCTGGCCTTCTCCTCCCTGCAGGGCGAAGTACGGCCATATCCCAGCCCCTCTGCCTGGCCTGCAAGACATACGCACATCAGAGTGTATGGAGCAGCTTCCCCAGCAAGGACCAGGACTGACTGCAGGGCAATGGGCTGGACTGAGAATGGGCCTGCCAGGATCCCAGCTTTCGAGAGCGTTTTCCACGTGGAAGACCCTGCAGGA